TAGCTGGTGAATGAGTTTTTTAGGTACATAGATCAGCCCTGTGCTCCTAAGGCCCTGAAACTCCACAGGATACTTTGTAAGAAATAATGATGTAAGCCATGGGACTGCCTGTTTTAAAGTGCATTTTATGGCACTGTGAGGTCCCAGAAGGCTGAGGTTGGAAGGGGCTCTGGAGATGTTCTGGTCCAGCCCCTGTGCTGAGCAGGGCTGGCTGCAGCAGGGTGCTCAGCCCTTGTCCCATTGGCTTTGAGTGTGCTGTGGATGGAGACTCCACAGCCACCCCAGGCAACGTGCTCCAGGCTTTAACCTCCTCATGGTAAAAGTGATTCTGTGTTTGAAGACTGTCTTATAGGTCAAGTTGTTCCTTGTTCTGTCACTGCTAGAGTCTGGCTGTGTCTTCCTTTACTCTCTGAAAACCTGAAGTGTTTCTCTGACCACTGCAGTGGGCACTGTCTGTGGCTGGGTGACAGAACAGAGCCCCTCTGCACTCCAGTGGTCTGTACACTTAGTAGAACTAGCTACTACTAACTGCACAAAATTAAATACAATCTAAAAAGCATTGTTAAGTGTTAATAAAGCAAAAAAAGCAGGTGTTAGTATTGAGAATGTCCTTTTGTTGATAAGGCTTCTTCCTATCAAGTGGGGTAAATCTTTAGCCTTTGTGAGCAGCCATGCTCCAGGAAGAGAGGCAGTAAAACTCAGCCCTACAACTGTTCATTGCTGAGCTCTCAAGAATCCAGGACACTGACCTCAGTGTCAGCTCTGATGTAATGTGAACATTATAAAAGCAACTTTCCTCAGAGTGCTAAACATCTAAGTTACTTAAATAGCTTTCAAACTTTATTTTATCCCAGTGGTCAGTCTCCTGACTTCAGAAAGTTAAGTCTAAACTTCATAAAAGCAAAAAGAAATCAGTACTTCTAGCAAAATTCTTTATTAATAGTTCTGTAGGTATAATGTCACATAACAATGACAGAACATTATGCCAGTATAAGAGAAATCCTAACATCACAGTAATCTTCAAAGTTCAAGCAGTTAACAGTCCTTTTTTGAGGAATATTGATTGGTGCTCATGCCAGACATCCATGGCAACATCATGTTAAAGTATCTTCATGTTAAAGTACCTTGCAGAATAAAGGCAGGAGCCTGGGCATGTGAGCTCTAGTGGGATGTACATAATTCCATCATGTCTACTAATTCTTCTCAGATTAAGGTAGAGTCTTCAACAAAGCTGCAAAGTAAATATGAGGGTTTATTTAGCATGAAATGAAACTGAGATGAGAGTCATAAGCAAGGAAAGAATGGGAATGCTCTAGAATATATAATTAATTAAAAAAAGGTCAGCATTACAAACCCCCCTTCTTATGCACAGCTTACAAGCAAAACTAACATCTCTTGTTGGAGTTCTCCAATATTAAGGTTACCAGTTATTTGCAATCTGTCATGTTTAATCCAGTTAATTACACTGAAAATAATCATTAGAGGTTTGTAAAACTTGAACCTGAGGTTTTAATCAAAAAGTGAAAGCACATTTTTGCTTAACCAGACTTCAAGAATGAGGTGTCAGTTTAAGGCCAGCACTTGCAACAAAGGTATTTCAGTTTAATCAGAGCTGTGCTTGCAGCAGAGCTCAGGGCCCAGCACAGCCAAACCAAGCCCTGTGTTAATCTGGGGAGCCTTGGCTCGCTTGGCTGAGCCGGTCTGGGGGAGCAGCCTACAAACAAGTCTAATTTTGATATTTCCTACTTGAGGAGATCAGAGATTTCCACACCAAAATCCAGGTGCCTAATTCCAGGTATCCAGTGTAACAAGGGGAAAGGGTGTGAAATCCTGAAAACTGTTTTTTTTTTTTTTTTTTATGAGACTGAGCTTCTCAGTGAGCAGGGTCACACTTTGCTTCATTATTTTCATTATTTATAGTGTTGGAGCAGGGTTTAAAGGCTGGTTTAAAGACTGCACCTTCCTTTCTGAAAGCAGTAAGGAGCCATTGCAGTGCCTGCAGCCTGCCAGGCTGTGACTGCGGGTTTCCCCAGGGTTTGGAGCCTAGCTCCCAGCAGCTGAAGGCACAGCCCTGTCCCGTGTGAGTGCAGGGGCAGCCGGGGTTTCTCTCCCCGGAACGGGAGCCGGGGCTCTCGCCTCAGAAGGGCGGGGCCACGGGCAGGCCGGCCCAGCTGTGTTACCCTGCTCTGGAACCACCACCAGCAGTGGGAGGTAAGGATTTGCATCTAAAAATGCACACATGCGCCTCTCTTTCCAAGGAAGCAGAGCCTGGTCCCCGAAAACACAAGAGTCTCTTGAGATTATCTGGGTTCAAATTTAGTGCTGTTCCACAAAGCTCGGTGGGAATCAATGCAATTTCTACAGCACCCCTATCAAAGCTCTGGTTCTTGCCCGCAGCAAAGAACCAGAGTTCTCCCAAGGAAGGGCCCCAGACACACTCCAGTGCCTTCCCCCTCCTATTGCTCCCTTCCCACAGGGACTGCACCACGGGACAGCTAAGGAATTTCAGAGGTTTCTCAAAAAGCACAATGTCTGAACTATGGCAACATCAGTGTTGCTGTTACAAGTGCAGGAGTATGGGGGAGTCAAACCCACGCTCTGAGTTTCAAGGTTATCGATTTAGTTTGGATTTAGATTGGATTTAGATTGGATATCCACTTCAGAAGCCAGAGAAAGTCACTCCCAGTAGCAATGGGAGAGAAGACTCCTGGCACAATTATCTCTTTAAGGTGTAAGGAGTCAAGCCTTTCAGAGAAAGGAGGAATTAACTAGCTACTTCAGTCTGACATAACTTCCAAGGCTCAAGACAAAAATTTTTAGAACTGATTATGTGCATTTACATCAAATTAAAGAAAGCAAACAAAGCCCACTTTCCCTGCAAAACAAGGATTGGGAACCCTTCCCCATAAGGTTTAAGAAAGAATGCATGGTGTAGCACCCCCTCACTGCTAAAAAGAGAAATAAGACTGAAAACCCCTCCACTGTTACTACCATGCACAGGCTCTGGCCCCAGGGTACAGAGAAGGAGCAGTTTAAGCTGGTACAAAATGTCTAGAATTTGATTTTCAGGTAGCAAATACCTGATCAATGTAATGGAAATAAAGGAAACAAATCAGACTTCAGACTTTCCAGCTTTCCATTATTTGAGTAATTAGATGGCAACTAGAAATGCTTTGCCAATAACTGAAAGGGGATCTTAGTGTTTACTAATGAAGTTGTTAAAATTAAACATAGGAAAATGGGATCATTTCTGCACAGTAGAGGTGAGGTAGGGAATTTTATTGAAAATACTTTTTTTTTTTTACAAGTTCTTAGAAATAAACTTTTCTAATCTCACACAAACAGCTGTACCTCAAAAATTCAACTAAGCTATTATGAAACATTTATATTTACAGTTAGCCAAAAGAATATACAGAACTGCCATGTTATGCAAATAGCCAAGTACCAGCTCACAGTGAGATACATCACCCCAGCATTCCCACCATCAGGAAGATTCACATACCAAAGAATCTCACTATTCTACAAACCTCATTGCACAAAGAGGGAAGATTTTTAATAGTGTTGTAGCAAGGTCTCCACTACAGCATCATTTTACAAATTACATAATTCATGTACTCAATTTTTTAACAAAAAAAAAATCTGTAATAAGTGATGAACAAAGTAATAGTGTTGACTATGAGCCTTTTATTGCATTTATTCAGTCATTCACGTGAGGCCGATGCCGATCCCAATAGTTTGCATTCATTTCCAACACCTCAGCCAGGCTGCAATTCACACCATTCACCAATTTCCAGTGGCTTTCAGTCAGCAAGAACTAGTGGCACCTGATTGCATCCCCTCTCCCTCCCTCTCAGTCCTAGGATCACCACATGGAATTCAGACACAAACACACAGACACTTTTACCTATTTACAATTACACTGAAAGCCAAACCCCATGAGGTTTATGGACATCCTTTACAGAGAAACCAAAACCCACTGTTTGGATCTCAATGTAACACAGCAACATTTTGTCCACCACATTTCACAACTTCCCAGAATCAAAACAGGTAATAGTTTTTTGTAACAGCACCATAGGAGGAAGGCCTATGCTCTTTTCCAAGGTATATTAGACAGGCACTAGTTACCATCCAGACATTTTAACTCCAGGTTGTGACAGCAACTGCTCTATTTACAGTACAATATATTGCTTATCCAGAGTGGCTGTATAAGATGCATTTCCTGG